AGTAGTAGTAGCAGCAGTCGTACATAATCTGGGTTAGCCCTGAGCTGCTGATTCAAGCAGCTCGCCTCCCAAATAGTATATGCCTGTGGAGGGGGGGGGGTTCAAAACTTACAACATAAATCCCTTCTAGGTTCAATTAAAAATACATAACTCTGTCATCTGACAACAGTTTTTTCGTTGACTTTCAGTGAAGAGAAGCCCAAAAACACTAGATCTGACAAAAGTTTTGGCATTTTTGAGTAAAGAGAAGAACGAAAACACTATAGCTTTTATTTAATGCTGGTGAAAAGCAAGACGGACAGACTAAAAAATGTATTTAAGTAGAACCTGCAAGTGGCATTCTCCAAATACCCGCCGAAAGTAATCGACGTCAAGTTGTTCATCTGTTCTAAGCCCTAACCCAAAAAAAATCTTTTATTCAGAAGAGAGGAAAAACTCTTTCATTCTTTTAAAAAGTATACCCCTACATAATGTACTTTTTCTTGTGTTTATCAGCATTTAGAAATTGTATTCTGACAAAATTATTCCTCAAGCACTTGCAACTGATACCACAGATTAAAAAACTGCAATAAATTATGCTTGGGTTTGGGTGGGGTTTTTTTAATGCTGGGCTTTGTGCATCTGAACAACTGGTCGACGTAATATAACGTGCCAGTCGAGCCGGAATGAGTTAATTTGTTCCTTGATTGATTACGACAGTGAATACTGCAAAGATGATGAGCCACATAACAGAGAAAAGAATAAAGAGAATTAAGTCAGCGAGGCCAATGTAAGTGAGCACCCTTGAGAGTACTCTTGTCAAAGCTGTTTGTCCCTTGTTCTCACTTTCAGGAAATCGACACGCTAATTTTCCCCACATTATGTCAAGAAGTTTCGTCATAGTCGTTCCCTTCTGAGATACCTTTCCTTTTACGGTATCACGAGAGTGAAAACCGGAGCGCGGAGATACCGAACTATTGTACATTTTGTGGGAATGTTCCATGAGTTGGGATGTGTACGTATTTTGGTTTGATTCAGTGACTATTTGTGACTCATTGTCTTTACTCTGGCAATTGGTTTTGCTTTTCTCATTGTTATCTCGTCCGTGGTGATACACAGTAAGAAGGATAATGTTACTGATGAGCACTAAAATGCTGTGCACAAGAAGACACATGAGGTAAATAACAAGCAGGGGCATGTGATCTGAGGTTTTTGGAAGATCTGAGTATATCTCGCTCATGTATACGGTCAGAGAGAGAAGGGTGGTGATGGACAGTGACAATCTTTCTCCACTCTCCACCGGTACCCAGAAAACGAACACGGAGATACAGGACAGAAGATTAACAGGCATGATGATATTTAAGACGATGAACTGAGGTCTGCGTCTAAGAGATATGGAACACGTGACAAGAGGTAGCCCTGTAGTGTGTGAAATGAGGCTTGCACCACGGATCTCTAGGATATCCCATTCGCCGTTTTTTGCATGACGACCTGCAGATATACTTGCCAGGCCCATTGAATAAGTCACATGGGATGCAATTTCTCCACCGAGAATAGCGAAGTGACATTGTTGGGTGTCAAAGGGAAAGTAGGTCAGGATCATGGAGCAAGAAAAATGAACGATTCCTCCAGGAAGCCATGTGACATGTCCGTTGGAGTATAGGTGCAGAGGAGCGTAAGTGTCCCCAATAAAATCCTGGCTTCCAATAGAGTTTGCTGCCAACAACCGAGGCTTCCAGATGTCTAGAGGGTCCGGTTGGACGTCAGAGATACCGCCATAGTCTTCAGGTCGCCACTGACGCAACTCGTCCGTCCAGGTAATATCATACATGAAACACGCCGACATAGTCTGCTGTACCTCATTCACGTCGTAAATAAACAGGAGAGATATAGAGATGTTGACGAGTACTCTGTCTGTCTGGTTGATCAGGGGCAGGTACCTGTGGTCAGAGGCCAGAATGACGTTCGTGAACAGGTTATGCATATCGCTTACTAGTGCCCCTTGAGCTAAGACGAATGCAGTGAGGAAGCTTAAAATAAGCAGTAATCTGTTTCTTATCATACTGGTATTTTTTTAATTCCTAAAAGAAGGTTGAAGGGCGTCACTGTGAGATCCTGCCTACTTATTCCCTTCCCTTTTTTCTCAATCAGTCTTGCATTCCCCCCTCACTAAAAGATTGCTGCTGTTTTTTTGGTGGCAATGACGATGATGATGGCGATTATATTGACGAGATTGTTACCGACGTGCACCTCTGTGTTGCTTGACTGGAGATCTTTCGTGGTCCTCTGGCTTGAAAATGAGGCTCACGAAGAACTTCAAGCTACGTCTGTTCGACAATGTTCAATCAGTTGTCCCTGGGATGTGTCCTTGGAAGAGACAGATAAACAAGTGAACCTTTCCTCAACACAGTAGGTTGCTGTTTTAAACAGTTTACAGCTGTGTGTGTGTGTGTGTGTGTGTGTGTGTGTGTGTGTGCGTGTGTGTGAGTATGTGTGTGGTTGTATGTATACGCGTGGTTTAGTCAGTGTAGTTGTGATGGTCAAAAGCAGTCTTTAAGAAAATGTTCAGCATAGGTGAACCTTTAGCAATAACAAAGTGGACACACATTTTTGTCATTTTAAAATATCGTTGGGGGTCATTGTCTGGACATGAAAGTCCCGAGACAATTTTAAAATTGAACTTTCCCTTTACACAGATGCTTTACATTCAAGCTTTCAGGTCTTTTGATAGAAATAACATTCATTTGATGGAAGTATTCTAGTATCCCTAAATGCTATGCAAAAGCATCCCTCTGACGAAAATGGGCAAAAATATGACATTCGAACATTGTCGGAATTCTGCATTTTTTAGATTTAAACCGACGTCAAGAAGATAACAACAAAAAACATGACCGAAGCAATGAGCGAAACTGATAACATCTTTAAATCATTCAAATTCAATGACGCGTCGGTAAACCAGAGTGGTTAGGTTACCATGCAGGCTCGTGATCGTGAGATTGCAAGTGCTGGTGTTCAGGCTCAGCTCAGTCCAGTGTTGTGTCTTTGGGAAAGGCACTTCACATAAATGTTCCCATTTGGCTCGATATATCGGAGATATATCTTAAATAACATGACAGTGCTTCAAGGGACTTAAAGTCGATACAATTTCATTTGTTTTCAAACATTAGGTAACAAAATACTAAGTTTCAAACGAGATGCACACCACAAATGTGTTCACGTTATCCCAGAGCAGAGGTTTACTCGTTCTTTGCCCATAGAATTTTTATCACTTGACAATATTGTTTCCTTGTGAATATTAATAATCAACATTCCCACGATGATAATTTAGTGGAAAAATTCTGCCTGATCATTATGATTCGTGGTTAACTTGACAAGTGTCACAGCCAATACACTATTGGCAACAGCTGTGGTATAAGATATGATAAGATAAGATACATCTTTATTGTCCAGATCCTCGCACATTGGTTCTGTGTTTCACCACGTGTACACACACACACACACACACACACACACACACACACACACACACACACACACACACACATGCGCTCGCGCGCGCAGGCTTACAATCACATGCATAATATAAATTAGCAGCAATATAAACAATAATAATCTTAAGCTAGATACATACTCAATGTTATTCTGATGCATGCTCTAAGGTCGTATGAATACTTGTACAAGATGGTTAAGATGGAAGAATTTTAATGAATGATGGTAAGTAAAAATGACCTTCAGATCAGAAGCCTAGGTCTTTTACTTCTGACTGATGTTTCTATTTGAGGGAACAAAGGATGTTTGTTGTCTAAAAAGACGGATTTCTTTTTCAAGTGTAAGCTGTTAAGTACAATTTATCCAAGTAGGGGAATGTAGATGTCGAAATGTAAGATGCTTTCCGTACTAGTACTAGTCGATTTAATTTTTCTTTATCTTGTTGTCTTGTGCACCCGACCCATGCTGTTATACAAATATTGATCATACTTTCTTTAGTTGAATAATAGAATGTGGACATCAATGTTTTATCAACTTTAAGATACATGAGCTTTCTTAGAAAAAATTGTCTTTTTTTCACTTTTCATGCAGGAGAGAAGTGTGGACACGCCAGTTGAGTTTGTTGTCTATTGTAACACCCAAATACTTAAAGTCTGAAGGTTCCTTGCACTTGCTCACAAAAGATATTGAATTCGATTTCTTATTCTACTTAGTATTGTCGTCTTTCTGCTGAGATAACGTGTCCTCTCAGGATCTGAGCGGCCATGGAATGCAAAATCAAAGAAGCTCTTTTTTAGTAAATTTGTTTTCGTCAAAGTAGGTGTAAAACATATGACTATCTCAGAGACTCAATCTACTTCTGAAAGCATGCTCCAAGAGGTCGCACGATATACTAAGATGAGAAGTTGCTTGCTTTACAATTCACTGGTAAAAGAGACACCGCCAAATTCCTGGTTTTAAAAAAAGATAGGCACAGGAGATGTATTATCATACAGTGGGAAAAGTGAAAAAAAAAGGCAGGGGAGAGAGAGGCTAAAACAGCACCTAAACATAGAAAGCCGGTGCCGTTATAAAAGAATATTCAAGGTTAACTTTCATGTTCAACTCTGTGACTCAGAGAAAGAAAGAAGACTGACCTTAACATTAACTATTTGTCAGCTTGCATTCTAGTCTTTCAACAATGTTTGAAGACGAGCTGTTTTGTGACACCTTTCAAAAAGGCAAAACATTGTTATTCATATGGATTTTTCAGTTGTTTCCTTCATCTGAAATGCTAAAAGGCAAGCATACTATCAAACGTGCAAATTCATGTTTTGATTTGTGTATGAAAGTTCTAAATATTAAGCCTTAACATTACGCCGATCAGACATGTCTGCTGCGTCAGTAGACAGTTTAGAACGTACCTTTAGAATCTTGATAAAACTATGGTTTCCTATTCAACTGCACTTCACTTTTGAAGTCTTCACACACACAAAATTCAGTACTGATAGCAAAACTGGATATGATCATGAACGGCAGACTACTTAAACAAATCGTTTTATAGCTCGATCTATTTATTTTTTGGGAAATGGGCTAAAGGTTGAAGGGGGAAAAAAGAGAAAAATATTCAAGCTTACTTGTAAAGTAGCGATACGGTAAGAACCTTTGTGTTCACGGCTCCTGTGAACCTGTTCGCCCTCCCGCGTTGTACAACTGGGGTCTAATAGAGGTACCGTTGTATTCTATTTACTGCAGTAATTCACCGGGCATATATACTTAAAACCTCCCTCGGCCTTCAGCTCCTACTCGGTGACTAAACAAAGGTATAAGTGTACCTTAAATTTAGATATTATTGACCTGCTGGGTTGTTGGGGGGGGGGGGGGGTTGTGGGGGGCTGGGTTATTTTTTGAGGGGGGGGGGTCCCGATAACCATTATGATCTGAGACTTGTTGCGATAGGCCCAATGTCTTTTTATCCCTCAAATATTAAGTAGACTACTGGTACCGTAAAATTCGCAGTTGGTTTGGGGGGTTTTCCACCCCTCCCCCTTTCTCTTCCCCATTCCTCACCAGAAAGAACCTCATTATTTCGAGACATCTAAAAGATGGACCTTTTCTGTGTTAGTTTCCTATTCTTTTTTTTTCCTTTTTTTTTTAGGGGGAAGGGTGCATCTTGAACCTTGCAGAACGCCCGCCTACCTCTATAAGAAATCTATAAACAGCCATATTATTTTTGTTTATTTTTCCTCTTCCTTCAAACAGTCCGCCGCCCCTCTTCTCTTCCAAAAATTACAGATTTTGTGAATAAATGTATCTTTCCAAAATCCTTGAACGGAACAGTCCTGGACACGTACAATACAGCCTACAGTCGAAATTGTCTAAGACGGCTACCCACTGTCGGGAATAGAAGAAGTAGCATTAGACATGTGACCGTCCTTCATAGTCTCATTACATGTATAATTTTTTTTAAATATATATACATTATTAGTATGATATGTTATATTCAACAAAGGAAATAAGAAATGGCCGTTTATAGAATCTACAAGTGATTGTCTTTCCGGGTGGCTTTTCCGTATTATACACAAAACTGTCATACTCAGGTGTCTTTTCATTATAATGTTTTAAAAAATACGCAACAAAGGAAATGGGACATGGCCGTTTATACAAGTGATTGTCTTTTCGGGAGGCCTTTAGAGTAGGTTGGACTGAATTTTACAGTACAATGTCTTCATCAGTCGCATGAAAGGCTCACGCTCAATAAGTGTGTGGTCTTACGTTTGCCTGGATCGATTGACCAAAGAGTTATTAACCATTTTACTTCTCATACGAGGGACCACAGGGATACGATAATTAATACACAGAAAGGTCAATATCGTCTGAACTCAATGTCACACCCTGGGGTCATGGTTTATTCGGGCACTTACTCGAATTTATTGCCTCTCTGGGGACTTTGGGCTCTTTAATTCTCTTTGTTTCAGGTTGAATTTGAGGATTTTTTTTTTTTTAAATCTTTTTTATTTAAAAGTTGGTGAATGTTTCTCTTTCACTCCCCCATCGACACAATGCAACGTAGCTGACTTAAGAATAGCATGAACTGACTTAATGACGAAAACGTGGGGGGGGGGGGTTCTCATTGGTTTTTTATTTTGTTGGGTGGGGTGGTTGTTTTTTTCTCTGGTAGACACCAGAAATCACAATAAGGACGAGACTTCTAGACCCTTTTTGTGACAAGACTACACCAGAAGAAATCCTCAGAACTAGCGGCCTGGAAACAATGGACTCGTATACTGAAACTCTAATTCATGCATACACAGATGGGTCAGCAACAAACGCTACACGGAATGCTGGATACTGATCTACCATCAAATATCGAAACAACCTTGGAGAGAAGAAGCAGACCCAACTATTTGGCCCATGTGGAACACACAGCTCAAACTATGACGCAGAGAGAATCGCCATAGTAAAGACCCTGGAGCAGATCACCCAAGATTTTTTGAAGGCGCAGTAACACCAGGGGATGTTGTTGTCTTCTCTGCTTCAATGCCAGTACTCCAAGCCGTCGAGGGAGGAGGAAACTACAGAGGTGACGGGAACATTCTCAGCCTTGTAAAACAGATGGGCACTTCCTATGGCGTCCGGGATTTGAAAACAACAACAACAACAACAACAACAACAACAACAACAACATGCGTTGTCGCATTTGGTCGAGGGATGGTGATGTTCCCACTAGTGCCTTGCATAGCGATTGACTGTCAGTGAAGATAGCGACCGAGTTGGATGCATCGCACTGTTTGTCAATCTAGTCAATGGCCATTTCAAAGGCTCTCCTCTCTTCCTTGAAAGAGTACGTAAATATGGTGTCTTTCTCCCTCAGTGTCTCGACAACTGTCGGGTTGGACGGATCCCCCGTTGTGATGACGACCCCAGTGCCGCCATCCGTTGATCCTGTACTATCCGAGCCGTCAGTGTAGATATTGTACTGTGCCCCAAGCTCTTCTGCTCGACAAACAGCAGCGCTTCGGATCTTCGCACTGGAGTCACTCCTTCCGCTTATGCCTCACAGGTGGGGGAAAGCGATGTCGGGGTTGATCTTCCTGTTCCCACGGCCTGGTTTCGAAATAAGTAATGGGCCTCCTCACGCAGTTGAACAGACTTGGGCTCTTTTAGCTGGCGTCTTCGGCCCTTTTTCGAAAATCTCTACGTCCCATTAGGCGTCTGTGCACATTGTTCCGTTGCCACAATTCGTCGGGGGTGGTCGTTGTTCATTCGCAGGGCCTTCTCTCTTGATCGGAGACAGTTAGCATAGATAGTGGACTCAATGCTTGGAACCCTCATTTCAGCTCGAAGAGCCTCGATCGGTGAGAACTGGGCTTGGGTGGTGATCAGTCAGACATCTGTTTTGAACCACCTCCAGATTATTTATCAGAGTTTTGCTCAGCCACGGTTGCCAGCTGCTGCTCGCAAAGTTGAGGACACGTTGTATATATGGGTGAGGTAGACCTTACGTAGGTCATCTTTACTCCATCCCCATTTCGAGTGCGCGACAGCGCCGAGCATCCTCATCTTCTTAGTGGCCTTAGCTATTACTGTCTCAACCTGTTTGCTGAACGTGAGCCTGCGGTTGAGTGTGACTCCCAGGAGTCTTGCGTAGGGCTCATACTTAATTGTCGAATTATTGATCGTGATGCATGGCTTCCATTCTGAGCCAGATGTTTCGAGCGCGAAGAATGTAGTCTCGCTCTTCGAGCCGTTCAGCGTGAGTTTCCATCGCCTGCTCCAGTCAGCAACGATGTCCACCGCTCTTTGTGTCAGACTTTCGGCGTCTCGTACCGTGCGTGATGAAGCGAGGATAGAGACGTCGTCAGCGTAGATCGAAATTGTGAGATCATCCGGAAGTAGTTTTGCCAGTTTGTCAATATAAAAGAGGAAGAGGATGGGTGCCAGGGCGGAACCCTGTTGGAGGCCTTAGCTCATTTTCCTGTTCTTACTCTATATTCCGTTGAATCGGACTAAGGCTTGATGATTTTAAAGGAAGTCATTCAGCCATAAAACGTATTTATCTGGGATACCTCTGTCTATGGGAGGTTGTGGAGTAGGTGTTCTCGCCAAACCGTGTCGTATGCCTTGGGAAAAAAGAGGAGGACGAGTAGCGATTTCTCCTTCTTTTGGAAGCCATCGGAAAACTTCGGCATAATTCTCAGAATTTGGTCTTCCACACATCTCCCCTTCCTGAAGTCAGCCTGCAGTTCGGAGAACCAGCCGTTCTGCTCGGCCATGTCGTAGAGTCGTTCAAATACCATTCTCTCCATAGCTTTGATGACACAGGATGTGAGGCTTATCGATCTAAACGAAGTTAGTTCCGATGCTGGTATGGCGGTCTTGAGGAGGGGGGGATGATTGCGTCTTTCCAGACTTGTGGAACATCTGCTAAGCGAAATGATATGTTGAAGATGGAGAGTATTGGAGAGCAGTTTCTCAAGCGCTTTGGAATCCAGGTTTTTGAGGAAGGACGGAGGGATGTTGTCTGGTCCGGGTGATCCACGGGACTTCATCTTTGCAATGGCATTCCTCAGTTCCGAGATTGTGAAATCGGGCTGGTCTGCCCTTGGGTTATTCCGTAAATATTTCAGTCGCTGTTTGAGTTACCAATTACAATAAATTAAATGTACCAGTATTTTCGGCTCTGTCTCCTTTCGACATTTTTAGACCACAGACGTTCGCGTAGTGGTCTGTGAACATATCCGCCTTATGTTTGTTTGATGTCATCAGTCGCCCATTGTTGTTGTTGTTGTTGTTGTTGTTGTCGTCGTTGTTGCTGTTGTTGTTATTGATGATGATGATGATGATGATGATGATGATGATGATGATGATGATGATGATGATTTTCGTTTCCTTAATAGGCCTGACGGGCTTCACGAAGAAATCTTCGAGCGAGAGCGAGGCTCTTTTTCGGCTCCATTGTCAATATGCTTAGCGGCACCTCCACTCGTCCAAATAACTCCATTCGAATTGCCATTGTTCCTGGACATTCAAACATATGTTTGATATCCTCCTTTTCATGGCCGCATCTTCGGCAACTTGGGCTAAGCTCTTCATTTACAAAGTTCTTATACCATCTTAAACTCCAATGATGGTCCGACCGCAGTCTCGCTAGCTCAACCTGGTCCCAGCGACATGTGATAGATTTTTGTTCCCGCTTATAGGAGTACCCAGAATACACATCTTCCAGGTGCTGGTACTTAGTTCTACATGGTGGGTCTCTGATTTCTCTCTTGATTATTGGAAAGACTCCTGTGTATGTCGTTGGTCGTCTGTCTCCTTCGATCTCTCTGGCTTCATTAGCAGCTTGGTCTGCTGCCTCATTTCCTTCTATTCCAACATGGCTTGGAATCTACTGGATTTTTATTGTGGCTCTGGCTTCACTGAACTTAGGGCGCAAATCATTCATGTCCGAGCTGTTACCCAGCAGCCCCTTGCAGAGGGACTGACTGTCAGTCAAGATCAGCACATTGGTCCTACTGTGGCAATTGTCGGCAATCCATTGTGCAGCAGACATCATTGCCTGGCATTCCTCGTCATAAGATGATGTAAGGAATGCACCTTTAGTTTTAATAATTTCTGTTCGTGGTGGTTCATCATTTATTATCACTACTGCTGCTGCTCCACCTTCGCGGTATCCTGCGACTGCTGATCCATCGGTGAAAATTGTCACATCCGGCCCGACCTCTTTGATCACATCCTCAGCTGCTTCACGTGCCTTTACAGGATCATCACCTTTTCCTTTTACTCCTCTCAGTTCTGTCCGAATTTCGATTTCGCCATGGGTCTCCCATGGACAAGCTCTCATCAGATTGATCGGCCATCGATTCTCTGCTTCAGGGGGGAGGTGGTCTGCTAGATCGGTGCCCATCCGAAACCAACTTTTCCTGCGGTTTTTAGGCTTGACTGCTTGATCAAGGGCTTTCTTTCTAGGATGGTTGTCTGGTAATCTCTTAGCCATCTCTATAGACTTGAGGCATGTTCTTTTTGTATAGGTGGTGTACTGCTCAGTTCTGGTCTCATAGCGCAGCGCTTCTGTTGGTGTTGTTTTCAGCTGACCTGATACAAGTCGGAGGGCTTTGTTTTGTATTCTGCCCAGGGCCTTTGCACTAGTCTCACTCAGCCAAGGCTGCCACGCTGGGGCAGCATAATCCAACTTGCTTTTCACAAACATCTGATATATTTTCTTGAGCGACTCCTTACCCCAGCCCCATTTTGAGTTGCTGACAGCACCGATAACCTTCATTTTAGAGGTTGCACTTTTGGACACCTCTTCAATGTGCTTGTTGAAGGTTAGCTGTCTATCCAGGTAGACGCCCAGCTGACGTGGAGTGGGGTTGAATGGTATCTTTTTCCCTTCGATCTGAATTATTGGTTGCCACGTTGCCTCCTTCACCCGTGTTGAGAAGAAGCACACTTCACTCTTGGTTGCATTCAAGGTAAGCTTCCATTCATTGCTCCATTTCACAACCACATCCACAATCAACTGTGTCGCTTCATTTGCCTTTGCTCTCTTTGCGTGACTGGCCAGTATTTGTGCAGTCATCAGCGAACATTGAGTAGATCAGCTTGGCGGAGGTTAGTTGTTGAGTCAGGGTTTGGGAGGGATTCTGCCAGGTTGTTTATGAGGAATATAAACAGCAGCGGTGATAGTACAGCTCCTTGGGGAAGCCCTTGCTTGAAATTCTGGCTCTTGCTTGTTTCTCCGTTCAGGCGAACATGGGCTTGTCTGTTTCTCAGGAAACCATGGATCCATCTGATTGCACGCAACGGAACTCCCTTGTCAGCCATTGACAGTAATAGTCTTTCACGCTAAACCGTACCATATGCCTTGGAGTAGTCCAGCAGGACTAGGACCGATCGATGGAATGTTGGCTTTTGTTGAAAACCATCCTCAATTCCTTGACAGATTCTGATGATCTGGTCCGTGCAGCTATGACCTTGGCGAAAGCCTGCCTGAATATCTGCAATCCATGCATTCTTCTCTGACAGGTAATAGATTCTTTCAGTGTGCATCCTTTCTATAACTTTCACGACACAGGATGTCAAACTAATAGGTCGAAAGGATGTCATATCACTAGGTGACTTACCAGCTTTCAAGAGAGGAATGATAAGTGCCTTACGCCAGTCTTGTGGGCACGCTGCTTGGTGAAGCGACAGATTACATGTGCTGAGCAATTCTTTCAATGCGAGTGGGCCAAGCTCTTTTAGGAAAGATGGTGGTATATCATCAGGTCCTGGAGCACTTCTTCTCTTCATTTGTGTTATGGCACGCTCCAGCTCTTTCATAATGAAGTCTGTGTATGATTGCTGTTCATCTTCGCTGTTCGTATCGTCATACAGCAGGCGCTTCAATCGGAGTTTGTTTCTTCTGCGCTCCTCTTGGGTAAATTGGAGCTTACTGATTTTTGCATACCGGTAGTGCTGGGCAAAAAGCTCAGCTTTCTTCTTTGCTAATGTTATCCTTTTCCCGTTGTGTTTCAGTACTTTGTTGGGAGAGTTGGTATCTGGTGATCCATTTAGAGACTTGATGTGTGATGATGATGATGATGATGATGATGATGATAATAATGATGATGATGGGGTTCTATGCTGATCAAAGCGTTAGGCTACACTGCTTACTCAAGACACTTATTTTGTTTCTCGGTACTTTTCCTTTCACGTGACTTCAATAGTCGTCAGTCTTACTATTTATTATTAATTTAGGTTCCAGAAGAATTAGTTTCGTGCTAGATATTCAGCGACGTCCATATTTCATATTTTTAGAGTACAATATGGCGGCCTCCAGCTGGTTTTCCAAATAGTAAACAATGCACGTCGGCACCGTTGCATAATGTTTAGTGGATGCATGAGTTGGATCTACCTTTGCCCTTAGCCTTAGTTTAGTGCTCGCTTTGGCTTTCATCAAGGTAATTCCTGGTTTCATCTTACACTTTTTATAACTCTGAACATTTTACCAAGGTAAAGATGCAAGATATAATATCTAATCTACTACATCTAGATAGATCTAGATCTAGATCTAGATCTATATATCTAGATCTAGATTATAGATCTAGATCTAGATTCTAGATATAGATCTAGATCTAGTAGATCTAGATCTAGATCTAGATTCTAGATATAGATCTAGATATAGAACTAGATATAAAAGGATGCCCGGAGAAAATAATTCTAATAGTACTACTGTGTAGGAGGGCTGCTAGAATCTAGATCTAGATCTAGATCTAGAATCTAGATATCTATCTACACAATCTAGATCTACTATCTAGATCTAGATCTATTATTCTACAACCTTTTAGCTCTAACTAGTCTAGGCTAATGCTAATGTCTCTGTGACTAATGACACTTCATGACAAATGTGTAGTGTAGGCTAGATCTAGAACTAGATCTAGATCTAGAATGGGGGTTTTTTTCACGATTACAATAATGGACTTGACTGTTAACATTATTTGCGGAAGAACTTCCTTAATGTGAGGGACCACCCAACAAAGATAATAAACAGAAAGAAGAGACCTGGATCTACTAACCTTTACCCTGACCCCTACCCTACCATTACCGTTCATTGTCCCTAGCAGAAGGGCTTCTGAAATGAGCGACCACTCAAACAAAAACAATAAATCAGACACATAACCCTGACCCAAACCCTATCCCTACCCTTCCCCTAACCTTACCCTTACACCTAGATCTCTATCCCAAACCCTTTACTTTAACCCTCTCTTCTACTCTGTTTCATAGCACAGTGGACTGTGTTTATGTAACAAGATGGTTAAGATGAAAGAATTTTGATGGATGGTGGTAAAAATGACCTTCTGTATCTTTCTTTTATTTCAGATCAGAAGCTTCTAAGGTCTTTTACCTCTGACTGATGAGGGAGCAATTTTTAAGGGATGTTATTTGTTTTTGTACAAAAAGATAGAATCAATTTTTGGGGGGGAAGAGGCTAGCCGTACTTAATGACGGCTAGACTGGCAGTCTAGCCGTACTTAAGTACGACCTGTACTTATTCTTAATATGATGGCTAGACTGACCTATTTACAAAAAATAGGCCTACTGAATTGTAAATATACATTTTTAGTGTGCAGTACCTAAAGTATTTGTATTTGAGACGAAACCAGGGGCCTTAATGACAGTGCATGTATTTTAAACCTCCTGTTTTCTAATGTTAATAGGGCCTAAGATAAGTACGGCTAGACTGGCAGTCTAGCCGTACTTAAGTACGGGTAGATATCCAGGCTAGCCGTACTTAAGGACGGCTAGACTGTCAGGCTAGCTGTACTTAATATTGATGGCTGAATTGTAAATGAAATTTTTAGTTTGCAATGCCTAAAGTATTTGTATTTCAGACAAAACCAAAAGGTGCCTTACTGACTTGCATGTATTTGAACCTGAATAATTACTAGATCTAGATCTAATGAGACCTGTGTACTTAACAGGCTTGAGTCGATTGGGCCAAACCTAGATCTAAGTACGGCTAGCCACTTCGGGTTTTTTTTTGGTGCAAGCTGTAAAATATGTGATCCAAGTAGGGGAATGCAGATGTTGAAATTTTGCATGCTTTCCGTATTAATCGATTTAATTTTTCTTTATCTTGTTGTCTTGTGTTCCCAGTCCATGCTGATACAGAAATTGATTCTCATTATAATGCTTTCTATGGTTGAATGATAGAATATGGACATCAGTGTTTTATCAACTTTAAAATACATGAGCTTCCTTAGAAAAAAATAGTCTTTTGTTCACTTTTTTTAATGCAGGAGAGAAGTGTGGACACGCCAGTGGAGTTTGTTGTCTGTTGTTACACCCAAATGCGTATAATCTGACACTTGCTCGATGTTCTCACTTTTCATTTCGAGTTGCTGCAGGGGCTTTTCTAAAGTTAACAACAAGTTCCTTTGGGTTTTTTCACATTTAAAAGCAGCTTATGATTTTCACACCATTCAGAAAAGTTAAGAACAAAATTCCAGTTAGCAGTTTCATTATGGTTAGCCTGAATGAGCCCAATTATTGTTGAATCATCCGCAAATTTGATCAACTTGATGTTACTGTTGTTTATTTGGCAATCGTTGGTGTATAGTGTGAATAAAACTGGTGACAAAACACATCCTTGAGGGGCCATCTTTATGATAAAGATCAGAAACGTAAACGTCTAGCTACGTAACACTTACAAAGTTCACTTACACTAGATCATTCTTGAGCAAAAATGTGCATGCGAGTCAATTGAATTTGATTGTGTGCATAGTTCAATATCTACAAGGCTTGGGCCACTGATATATTCACGGTATATTTTATCAAACTCAATAAATGGCAAATTATATGTAGTTTCTGACCTGGATGTTTAGGTCTAGAGCAGTGGTTCTTACCTAAGTAGGTCAAACACCAGCTGCTCAGTGAGTCAGTCTTGGGGATTCAAATACAAAGAAGTCAGTGTCAGGGGTTCAAATACAAAAGGAGTCCATTCGGCTCTCCCCTCTTGAAGGGATCGGTATCCCCAACAAGTAAAACCCACTGGTCTAATAATAAATGATAGGTAATATTTTGTATGTATGTGAAGCAGCGTAGTGAAATCAGGCGCTCGTCAAAATACAGAAATCGGAGAAACAGGTATTTTTCTCCCAGTTTGGACCCTTTTATCTAATTTTTTTTTCATTTTTTTGGCTCAACGTCTCTTTGGTTTTTTTGGTTTTGTAAAGTGTTTTTACGGCGCTCGCAACTGCATAAGGTCATATGAGCGCGCAGGACACACTAATATTTTCAGTTGGTAGGAAATTTTGCCCGGGTGGTGGCCGAAGCCTATAAGATAAGATAAGATAAGATACATCTGTATTGTCCAGATCCTGGCACATTGGTTTGGTGTTCCACATTGGTTTGGTGTTCCACCACGAGTACACACACACACACGCACACACACACACACACACACACACAAACACACACACACATGCACGCACATGCACACACAAGTAGGCTTACAATCACATACATAATATAAATGAGCAGCAATATAAACGATAATAATCGTAAGCTAGATACACACTCAATGTTATTTTGATGCATGCTCTAAGGTCGTAAGTACACTAAACAAGATGGTTAAGATGGAAGCATTTTGATAGATGATGGTAAAAATGACCTTCTGTAACTTTCTTTGTTACAGATCAGAAGTATGGGTCTTTTACTTCTGACTGATGTTTTTATTTGAGGGAACAAGGGATGTTTGTTGTCTAAAAAGATGGAATTAATTTTCTTAGTGCAAGCTGTTATGTACAATTCATCCAAGTACGGGAATGAAGATGTTGAAATTTTACATGCTTTCCGTATTAGTCGATTTAATTTTTCTTTATCTTGTTGTCTTGTGTTCCCGGCCCATGCTGTTATACAAAAATTGATCTTACTTTCTATGGTTGAATGGTAGAACATGGACATCAATGTTTTATCAACTTTAAAATACTTTAGCTTTCTAAGAAAAAATAGTCTTTTGTTCACTTTTTTATGCAGGAGAGAAGTGTGGACACGCCAGTTGAGTTTGTTGTCTATTGTAACACCCAAATACTTATAGTCTGACACTTGCTCGATGTTTTCACATTTCATTTTGAGTGGCTGCAGGGGCAGTTTCTTTATTCTAAAATCAACGACAAGTTCTTTTGTTTTTTTCACATTTAAAAGCAGCTTATGATTTTCACACCATTCAGAAAAATTAAGTACAAAATTCCGGTAAGCGGTTTCGTTATGGTCAGCCTGAATTAGCCCAATTATAGCTGAATCATCTGCAAATTTTATCAACTTGATGTTACTGTTGTTTATTTGGCAATCGTTCGTGTATAGTGTGAATAAAACTGGTGACAAAACACATCCTTGAGGGGCCCCTGTATTTGTTGTGATGTATGTCGATGAAGAATGTTTTAATTTTACATACTGGGTTCGGTTGGTAAGAAAATTGCCTATCCATGATATTAAATTGACGTTAACACCTATGTTTTCTAATTTCTTTAAAAGGATAGCTGGCTGGATAGTATTAAAGGCTGACGAAAAATCAACAAACAGGATCTTTAAGGGATCTTTAACGTGCGCAGCTTGCACACAGGCCCTCCGAGATTTTTCGCCCTTGTCCGAGAAGGCTAGGTGTAGATCTTTCCTACCAGAAGATCAGGGGTGTGGCAGAAAGACAGCAGTAAGGAGGAGCCAAGGAGTAGCAGTAGAAAGGCTGCAGAAAGAGTCAGGAGCCCAGAGGAGGGGGCAAAGGAGGTGAGGGGGTGGGGGCAGAAAGTGGAAATGAAAGCAGACGACAGAACATGGCAAGAGAGCGGGAAAGGAGGTGAAAGGAGACAATTTTAGAGAAGAAAATTTTTTGGTCGCTACCCGGATTTAAACCCGAGACCTTTGAATGAGAGTCCTACACCTTAACCTCTAGGCCACGAGAGCCCCCTCAACATCTTTATGTCCGTATAAAAACATATTTCCATTTGAATTTTTTTTTTTTTTTATTTGTTAAATGCACAAAAATTGTCATTTTTTTGTTTTCAAGGACTCTTTAGCTATAGATTTAAGAGTTACCAAACTTTGGTGATCATTTTACGGCTAATTTCACTTCTGAGACCATGCAACCTCCTCCTCCTTCAATCACAAATATTACGACTTGTATTAACGATAAATGGATAATTTTTAAACTATAGTAAGACCAATGAAAAAGCTTTAAGATGATACCAATAAAACCCCATATGCTCCAAATTTGACGAGCGCCTGATTCCACCATGTCATGACATATATATATAAATATATATATATGTGTCAGGATGCGATGGAATAAGGCGCTCGTCTATTTTTGGGCATATGGAGTAATTGGTATCATCTTAAAGCCTGATCATTTGCCTTGCTTTGAATGAAAAAATATCTTTCTATCTTGAATAGAAATCGAGATATTTGTGATTGAAGAAGGTGGGGGTCACCGGGTTCAGAGTAAAATTAGCAAGAAAATGGCTGCCACAGTTTGGTGACTTCCATAGCTTACGGGTCTTTGATTACTTTGAAAACCCTTAAATCAACATCTTTCGGTAAAATCCACTAAAAGATGTTGGGCCAAAAAACAAAAATTCGATAAATATTTTGTCAAACCAGCAAAAAAATGCTGGTTTCTTCAATTTCAGTATTTTGACGAGCGCCTGATTTCACCAAGGTGCCTCACACCCACCCATATGTATATATATATATTTTATCTGTAGTTCAATGTTATGCTACTCCTACTATAAATGTGTCTATTTTATTAATCTTAAGAAAAACACAGCCTGTTACAAGCATCAAGCACTGTCATGAAGATTGCAATCATTGGTGGAGGAATCGCAGGACTGACGTGTGCAGCAAGACTAGGCCAGCTTGGCATATCAGATGTAACAGTCTTTGACACTGGTAAGCATCATCAAGCAGTAGGCTGCAGACAACCATATTAACCCTATCCATACGTCTTGTTTTACTATCGTATCCATACAACGTGGGGAACTCTGTGCCACCACTTTCCAAAAAGGAAATTTGCTCTTTGATCCGATCCGTACGCTTTGCATAGCAGTCTGTCAAAATTATTTTTTGAGAAATACTGAAAGTTTCAAAGAGATCGTCGTACTAGAAGTATTCTAAAATGTGAAGAATACAACCCCGGGGTACAAAATGACCCCAGGGCGTACGGATAGGGTTAAACAGATTCATGAGAAAGAAAAATGGGGTCTCAGGTCTTAAGCGCTTAAAGCTCAAGCATTGTTTACAATTTTCAATGAGTGAAGAGGGCCCTAATTTTCTTACCCTTAGAACAGTGCTTTTTAGTAAAATAATAACTATAAAAAGCAACCATATCATTATGTAACAAGAGCCTTTGAAATGGCATAAAATGCTTTTCACTTCTGTATAATATATGAGTTTAAGATTGACACCCTACTAGATGCACAAAGATCATTTTGAAAGGGGGCGGGGATATAAAAGAACCATTCAATCAGCTGATCAGCATGAAAAAGGGGGATAAGAACACTATAGTATGCAGAAAAGGTGCAACCCCTTTGACATATAGAGACTTGGAAAGTTTCACCATATGATGGTGATGCAGCAGAATGTTTATATCTCTCAGCATGTTCAGGGGTCAATCATGATTCATGAGATGTGAGAATATTAAAAGCATAAAGATAAAATTTTCATTTTGATTGCACAGTGTCAATTGTAAACAGTCGTGGTAACATTAAGTATGATTTTAAAAGACAATGGTAATTGTCTCAAATTTGATTATTTAAAAAGAGCCTCCTCAAAGCAATGGAAAAAAGACAACCTCAACTTGTTGACATGCTTCTCTCAAAATAGGACGCACTAATTTGTTTTCATTCATTACTTCACCCGTTGCATTCATTCCACACTTTTGCTCTGATGACTAGTGGGGATCTCAGTTTCTTCTCTTTAAATAAATGGTTTTTAGTCCTTCAAGCAGCTCCATGTAGTGTTTGGACTCTTTGAGCTTATGAAGTCCTTAGTACATGATGTTCTCAGATTTCTTAAGCAGTTGTTAAAGACAAACACAAAGATAACATTGACTTTTAATGTGCCATATAAGATAATAATAGAACAATGTCATCCCTTCAGAGGCTGAAATGACAAATAAAGAGGCGCTTGGGTTTGGGGGGTCTGTGCCAGTTTGATTTTACTAACTTTTGGCAGGATTTGGAATACAGTCTTTTAAGAAATACTTGTGGCAGTTACTGTTCTGATGGATTTACAGTGGTTCATGTTGTTTCAAATTAAACATGTACATTTTTCCCCCCATAAAACAGGCAAACATGCAGTCGGTGGAAGATGCTCAAGTCGCATTGTAAACATCAATGGGCAGCTGTCAGTGTTTGACCACTGTGTGCAGTATTTCACAGCTAGTGACCCCAGGTTCAAAAAGATCTTGAGCTACTTGATCAGAGATGGTGCAGTGACACAATGGAAAGGTCCAGTCGGCCATCTTCAGAGAGGAAGATTTCAGGCTGATTCACAATTTACTCAAGCTTATGTTGGTAAGTAGAAGATAGCTTTGAAAATTTTGAAATTTTATTACAGTCCAGCTAACTCACAGCAAAATCAGCAGGTAGCGGAAATCTTTTTGTGCTCAAATTTTAAATATTTAGAATATAATACATCATGATAATAATGATAATAATAATTATAATTGCATCTTTTATATAAGTATTATATATAGTGCATATCCAGGCTCTACAGCATGCTCTAATCGCTTTACAATTATAGGCCTACATGTATAAGAAAAAATCTGAGACCTGAAATTCTGTTTGCTGTCATACACGTGGTTTGCTATGCGTGTGCTAAACTGTACAGTCAAATCCCATTATACCGCCTATGTTGGGAAGAGCATGAAGTTGGAGGTACAGCAGGGCTGGAGGTACAATGAGGTTTTCATGTCCCCTGCTAAATACATGGGTGAGTCCTCACTAAATAAAAGCCCCACAGGAATTCATCAGCTTGTAAGTTTTTGGGCTGATATCTGGCGATGCCGGATTTTTGGGGGGGTTTGGGGGGGGGGGGTGAGATGGCGAGGTCACTTAAAAGTTTCTCCAGGTGACTTAAATAGTCAGATTCGCGCGGAGAGCGAAATTTGATGCTGAATTACAAAGTTATATTTTATTTTAAATGTACTCTTCTATATTACACACATTGTATTGTGTTTGCTTTTGACACACTACATCACCGTAGATCTATCTATCCATTTTTCCTGAAATCTACAAGACAAGGGTGGGGAGGAGAGTTGCACAGGGAGGGAGCAAATTAGAGAAAAGTGTTTGATCTAGACCTAGGCGCTAGCTTGTTGAGACGTGTGTGAAAGTTTGTCTAGCAACCACAGAGTGGATGTGCCATGCACTGTGTGTAGCCAAGTGTGTACTGTGTATTTCTGGTGGCCAGTTCGCTGGCGATGTACACCTGAGACAGATGGCTGATGGCGGTGTAAAGGCGCAAATACTGTGTTTATATAGGGGATTCTTTTTCGTACATTGGCAAAACCTGGTGGTAAGCGGGGCTGGGGGTTCAACAGAGGGGAAGGGGTACATGGAGGGGAGGTTTGACTGTATATATTTCCATATATAGTAGCATGAACCAGTACTGAGTGGATGCATTCTGCATAACGTTTGATAGCTTTAGAATGTTGTTGGAAATTTTCAAATTTGATTTGACCATTTCTATTAAATGGATGCCATGTCAGAAGATAGAACAATTAAGACAAGTTTTTATAGACACCTACATGAAGCACTAACATTATGTGCAGTAATAGTAGTCCTTTAGATTGTTTAATCATGCAGTAAGTATCAAATTAACATCACAGCATTCTCAGACTGGTTTCCTCCTTGATATGTTCAACTGTATCTAATTACTGGTCTTATGGTTGGTCAAGTGATTGTAGCAATAACTTGTGATTAAAGTATGAGTTCTCAGATTTATGAGTGCCTTTGCTTACTTTCATTCTCATTAGCATTCTTATTTGTCTGCCTGGAAGATATCATTTGCTGGAAAGTCTTTTTTTATTTGTTGACATTCTACAGTTTGAAAATTCTGTAAACTCTCAATGTCAGACTGTATATTTAAAGCAGTTTGTTTTGTTTTTCAAAAGTTTTAAGAAGTTGTCAAAAATTTTCTGCATTTCAGATTATACCCCTTGGAGCTGATTGTGTTATTCTCATTATATTTCAAATAAGCAGGGTTTTTTCTCTTGCTCATCAATATCTGCATGAGATTTTTGCATTTCTATTAAAAGTTTATTCTGTTCTATGTCGCAGGTGTGAATGGCATGAGGTCAGTCCCTGAAAGCCTGGCAAAGTTCTGCAAAGTTCAACGACCAGCATGGGTCAGTACTATTCAGTTTGACTATCACCTAAAGAAATGGACTGTTGACAAATGGGGTGTATATGACTTTGTAGTCATTGCTCATAACGGGAAGTGCGCTGCTAAACTGACAGAAAATGCTGGTGCTCCAGAAATCCACAGGCTTTGTCATACACGTTTTGCGTCTCGGGTTAATCCCAAGGACAGTCGCATGACGTTGTGTTCATTGTTTGTTCTCATGGTGGCTTTTGAGCGCTCACTTAAGTTACCCTACGAGGGAGCTCATGTAGCCGACAGTAACATCTCATGGATAGCCAACAACTCGGCCAAACTCAAAGGTACATCTTCATCTTCAGGGATTTTGCCAGGAAATAAATTGGAATGCTGGACAATTATCAGTTCTAAAAATTTAGCAGAGCAGAACAAAGTCCCCCAAGAACACATACCTCAGAATGTGGAAAAACGAATATCTGGCATCATGCTGGAATCTTTTGCAGAAGCAACTGGACTTAAAGGGAAGCTGCCAGTTGTACACTTTCAGAAACTACAGCTATGGGGAGCGGCCGTGCCCCTGAACACATTAGCCACCGGGTCTGAGTGTGTCTTTGATGCCCAACGTCAGATTGGAATCTGCAGCGACTGGTTGGTCAGTCCCTGTGTTCAGGGTGCAGCAGTCAGTGGACTGGCCTTGGCAGAAGCAATTGGATCCTGTATCAAAGGTATTGAACTTACTCTTGCCTTTGCTTAAGATTGTTTTGTTGTATTTCTATAGTTATTCCAAATGCGATGTAGGCTGATGGAAAATTTGATCCTACCCCCCAGGGCGGTGTTACTGACTGAAGTATCTTTAGCCCATTCCCAAAGGGGGACATTAACATGTTCTTATGCTCAGTAGAATTGTAAATGGGCTGATTCATCAATGTCGTGCTCATAACTGTGCCTGAACTGCATACGGGGAACTTCTGCTTTTTCTTTCCTAATTCTTACTATCATCATTTTTTCTCTACTTCTTTTGTATGTTTGTCTCTCTTTTGTGACCCGCTATTTCTGGGTGCCTTGATAGTCAAAGCAGACTTTGTGCTGTTGAAGTTAGAGAGGTGAGCAGAGTAAGCCTGATTCCCTGTATAGACTTCTCTGTTGACATCCACCCATTGGCACTCATGTGACCTTATGCAGTTGCGTCGCCGTAAAAACTCTACTAAAACGAAGCAAACAAGAGATTGATCCACTGTGCGCAAACAGTAGGTTCATCAACTGCTATTGTGCTGAAATAGCTTTAACAGATATCATTTTCCACCAGACTTTCACATATCTTTGGCTAGCTGTTCAAATGTACTAAGCCCAAAATTTTGAAGAAATTTTTTATTGCAGTTCCTTAACCCTATCCGTATGCACTGGGGTCATTTTGCACCCCCGGGGTTGTATTCTTTACATTTTAGAATACTTCTAGTGTGAAGATTTCTTTGAATCTTTCAGTATTTCTCAAAAAATCATTTTGACAGACCACTATACAAAGCTTACGGATCGGATTAACGAGTAAATTTCTTCTTTGGAAAGTGGTGGCACAGAGTTCCCCACGTTGTATGGATCTGATAGTGAAGCACGATGTTTGGATAGGTTTAATCTGTGCTGTCGGTTGCATATGCTCAATAAATAGTTTGTCAAAACTCAAATTGTAATGTTGAAAACAAGTTACATAAAATAGGTACAATTGTTAAAAGAATGAAACAGTTTTTCCTCTCAAGTGAAAAATGTTGCTTTTTTGGACATTTGAACAGCTGACGACTATATGTGATTGTTACTTTAATATTTTTCTTTAAGGCTTTTCGGTTTCTTTCTCATTCATGTTTCCTTTATCCTACAGGCTAAGTCCTCTACCTTCTAAATGATGAAGCCTGATTCGTTGATTAGTAGTGGAGTGTTCATCTCACCAAAATACTGAAACAATTCTTTCCCTTACTCCTGTGATTTTTCTTTTACCTTTGCATTTTTATGCATGTTTTTTTTTTTTATGTCCATAGGATAAGTCAAAGTGATTTGCAACTTCCATTGCATTTCATAACTTAAACTACTGTTCCAGATTTCATAATGGAGTAAAAAATGTGCAGCATCTTTAGAAAGTTTTGCAATGAGATTATTTCACTCAAAACAATAGAAGGATGAAAATCATATGGGTTTTTTTATTATTATTATTATTGATAAGACACAGAATGATGCAAGACTCAAATTAATTGTTCACCTTTGTAACTTTTTCAAAATGGTGATATAGACTTACCCATGTTGCCTAATTAGTTATTTTGTTTCTTATCTTTTTTTTAGGGAACAAGTCAAGCACCAGTTTACAGCCATTGTTCAAAGAAGAGAGTCAGAGCAACCCTATCGGAGCCTTTCCATGATTACCTTCTGTGGCAGATCTAAGCGCACAGAGGTACCTCAACTGCTCAGCTCTACCCCAACAATAATGGGGACACCTAGTCTACCTGTAATGGGTTGGACTTGCAATTTTTTTTTAATTGTAAATTTGAATCGCTTCTTAGCCAGATAGGGCATTGCAGCTTTTAGGAATGTACTTTACCTCCTATTCTTCTGTTTACCTTGCAACGAATGGGTACGTATAGCTGGTGGTAGAAATAAAATACATTAATGATAATGCTTTGTGTCGAACGAGCTGCAATTTTGTACATCAACGGAAAGAAGCCTTTTGCAGTTTTCACAAACGATTTGGTTTTTGTTTCATTAGTTACTATTTCTCAATTGATATTGTTCCTCTGTCAGTACTGTTTATTTTTTTCTTTCCAGATTTTAAAAAGAAGTGCAATTTTTATACGCAGTCTGGCATGTGTTATACTCTTGTGTATATAATGGAGAAACAATGGATAACAGAGAGGTCAGGATAGACTGGTTTAATGAGCTGTTGTAGCTAGGTGAACACTGTTGTACGACTTTTCAGTATGTTGTTAGTGAGTTTTAGGCTTCTGGACATTAGTAATGATTCATGTTCGCATTACAATGAATTACACGTTATAAATTACAGCTATGTAACATCTCCCTTTTCAAATCTGGACCCTCTGTATAATCGGAAATGGAATGAGACTCTAGTTACTTTTCCACTTATAATTAATTTAATACTGGAATACTGAGTCCACTTGACTTAATTATTTGAACTTCCATCTCAGTGTTTGTTTTCGTAGCCACTATGTGAACTTCACAATTTCACAATATAAAACTGACTAAATCAGACTTCAACTGTTCATAGGTTTCACACCATGATTCATGTTATTGTCTAAGTAAGGTTTTACGGCGCTCGCAACTGCACAAGGTCATATGAGCGCCAAGGGGTGGATGTCAACAGAGAAGACCAAACTGGGAATCAGGCTTACTCTGCTCACCTCTCTAGCCTCAACAGTACAAAGTCTGCCTCGACTATCAAGGCACCCCGGAAATAATAGTTCGCAAGAGACTGACAAACATACAAAAGAAGTAGAGGGAAAATGACGATAGTAAGGATAAGGAAAGAAAAAGCAGCATTTCCCCCTATGTTGTTCCAACACAGTAGGCATATAAGCATGACATTGATAAATCAGCCCATTTACAATTCTACTGTGCATAAGAACATCTTAATATCCCCCCTTTGGGAATGGCCTCCAGACAATTTCAGTCAGTAGCACTGCCGGTAGAACTGTTGTTGTCATACAGAACTAAATATAACTTTTACACTGTTCGTAAAACTGTAGTTTTCATACAAAACTGAATTTAACTTAAACACTGTTTGTTAACTTAACACTATGATTACACCTAAGTTGTGAATCTGAATTAAATGTCAACTGTTCCTAGATTACACACCGTGATCATTTTAGCCCACACCATTGTTAAATTTAATTGTCTCTGTATCTATGAGGTTTTTGGATCACTCGACCAGGTCTTGTGGTTTTCATAGGTTCTTGCTCTGAAGCTCGAATTTGTTGCGATGACACCAGATCTTGAAGTGCCAGCTCTTGCGGTGGGTTTGCTGGTGTAGACCTATCTCCTTGTCCCTCAAGAATGTCATTCGAAAGGGTTGGTTGTCCTCAGGTCATGGTATTTCTCTTTAGTGCACATCAAGTGTTGTCTGTTACGGCGCTGCACTCCATACTTCGTTTTGATGGTGAATGAACGAGGGGTTGCTGCTTTGGTGATCACTTGTTCTGGTTCCCATGTACAATTACACCTGTACCTAATAAAGTCACAGGGTTCATCTCTGGTAACTTGTGGGCATTCTGGTCATGCCTCTGCTTCACTTTTCTGTTACAGTTTGTCTTGCTTTTGGTTGACATAGTCGGCAGCAGGATTCTTAATTTCCTGCCCATAAACAACTCTGCAGGAGATTTCGAATTTGATTTGGGTGTTGTTCTGTAGTTCAGGGTGGCGAGATTTGTGTCTTCCCCGCTTTCCTTGGCCTTCTTGAGCAGCTTTTTTACTGTCTGAATATTCCTTTCGATAAACCCATTGGCTCTTGGGAAATTAGGGCTTGTTGTGACCAGCTGAATGTTCCACTGTGTTGTGAAGACTCTGAAATGGCATGATGAAAATTGTGGCCAATTGCCGGAGATCAAAGTCACAGGAACGCCATGTCGCACACAGATGATTTTGAGCTGTGTGATCACATGGCTGCTGGTGGTTGTGTCTAGCTTGCAGACCTCAAAATACTTTGAATGGTAATCGCAAACGAGGAGGTAGTCTTTGCCTTGCAATTGAAACAGCTCTGTGGCAAGCTTCATCCATGGCTGATCTGGGATGTCATGTGGTAGTAAAGGTTCGTTCTGTTGGGCATTCTTGTTGCATCGGCAAGTGCCGCAGCTGTTGACTGTTTCTGCAATCTGTTTCAGGCCAAAAGACTGCTGATTTTGCTCTGTTTTAGGATAATTCTTTTCCAAGATGTCCTTCATGTATGAGTTTCAACATTTCTTTCTGTAGACATTCTGAAAGGATCAACTGATCTCCTTTGAGCAAGATTCCATCACATTCTGTTAGTCCTCACAAATCGCCCAGAACTGTTTTATTTCTTTGGGTACTTTGTGCATCAAGTCTAGCCATTCTTCCGTCTGTGTTCTGAGTTTCTTCAGTGTCTCATCTTGCTTTTGCTTCTCCTTGATTTCTTCGAGTTGTTGAGGTGTTACGTGTAATCAGTTGACTACAGCGTCCACAAAGGCTTTCACTTCTGTGTCTGGGATTTCTGGTTCTTCTGTTGAGGAATAGCTGCTTTCTGTCTCTCTTGACGGTGTCAGACAACGCTTTTTCCTTTCCCTTCTTGTATGAGACTTCTAAGTCATACAACTGCATTCATAATAGGAATCTCTGGATCCTTGCTGTACACCTGTTCTAGGGTTTCTTCATAATGGCGACAATTGGCTTGTGGTCTGTCCACATTTGACTTTTTCATCCATCCACGTACTGGTGAAACCGTTCCAGAGCTAAAACGATTTCCTGTGTTTCCTTCTCAATCTGAGCATATCGCTGTTCATCTGTTGTAGGGCTTCTCGATGCGTATGCAACTGGTTGATCTTCTTGCAACAGAACTGCCCCTAGGCCATCTTTGCTGGCGTCGCCTTCTATTGTAACAGATGTCGTTACGTCAAAGTGGCGTAGAGATGGACAAGACGACAGTGTGTTCTTTGGGTTTTTGGCAGCTTCGCCGTGTTTCTCTGTCTATTCCCATTCGTTGTCTTTTTCTAGCCACTCTCTTCAGGGTGCTGTTTCCTTGGACATGTTTGGGATGAACTTCATCAGATAGGTCACCATACCCAAGAGTCTCATGAGTTCTTGCTTGTTCTTGGGTGTTTGCATGTTTTTGATGGCAGACACGTTCTTCTCATCCACTGTGATGTCGTTTTCTGTGAGGTTGTGTCCCATGTACGTCATCTGTTCTTTGAGAAAGTCACATTTGTTGGTGTTGAATTTCAGCCCATATTCTATTGCTCTCTTGAAGACTGCTTCTAAGCGTTTCATGTGCTCTTCAATTGTGCTGCTCCACACTCAGAGATCATCGTCGTAGCAGGCTACACCGTCCAGGTCACCAAAGAACTTGTCCATTGTGCTCTGGTAGACTTCAGGTTCTGAGGAGATTCCAAATGGCATTCTCAGAAACCTCCATCTTCCAAAAGGTGTTGAGAAGGTGCACAGTTTTGATGATTCTTCGCTCAGCGGGTTTTGGTAGAATCCACTTGAGGCTTCCAATTTGGAGTAGTACTTTGCCCCAAACATCTTTGTTGATACGCCCTGAACAGCTGGAATTTGGTAGTACTCTCTTTTCAAAGCTGTGTTCAGTCTCTGTGGGTCTGGGCACAATCTTACTTTTCCATTGAGCTTGTTGACAACTATAATTGGATTGACCCTGTCAGTTGGCTCCTCTTCTTTGGTGATGACACCTAGTTGTTGTTTTTTTCATTCTTCATGGTTCTGCCTCAATTTTTCCTCTTTGAGAGTATATGATCTTTTTTTGTTGCTGCTACTATAATAGGCTCAACTTTGTCATCCTCTCATGGTGCACTCTGTGTGTAGCTTGCCCGATTCTCCAAATGCATCCTTGTATTCTGTGAGCATTTCTTCTAGTCACTTTTATTTGTGTTTGATCTCGTAACTTGTAGCAGCAAACTTGAACTTGTGGCGTCGGTAGCCTAGTGGTTAGGCTACCGGGCTCGTAATCGTGAGATTGCGAGTTCGGGGGTTCGAGCCTCAGCTCGGTCCGACGTTGTGTCCTTGGGAAAGGCACTTTACACGAACTTCCCACTTGGCTCGGTCCTATCGGAGACGGACGTTAAACTAGGAGGTCTCGTCCCTTAAATAACCTAATAGTGTTGACAGGGGTGTTAAACCTATACCATTTCAAACTTGAACTTCAATCAGGAACACAGGAGTCTCGTCTAGGGTCGAACATAAGCAAGTAATTTATTTATGATCAATATGTAAAAGGAACCATGCCTTCACAACAGGTTAGAGTATTTACATGTTACAGAGTACATGCCTTTATTAATAATTGACTCTCACACGTCTCAGTCATTCTCACATAGAATATTATTACAACACCAGCCTAGTGGTACACGTTGACTAAGATATAAAATACAAAAATGACATATTATGATAATGAAAATGTCATAAACCGACATGGAAGTGTTTCTACAAAGGGTAACATCTAAATAACCAATGTCCTGCTAAGGGAATGAAATAAGAGCAGGTCTAATTAGTTCCCTTACATAATACCTCCCCTTCAGTCTGAAGGTATCTGAAGACTAAAGTGTTCCCAGAAGCAATCACAACCTGAGAAATGTCAAAGTTCACAATATGTCCATGTCAAGGCTGGTGACGTGCGCGTCGAGGGCGAAGTTGATCCTCATGTCGTCTCCTCATCGGGCCGTCTCGTAACACATGGACCTCATAGAGTTTGTGACCCAGAAAGGCGGTCACCACAGATGGCTTCCATCTGTCCTTACGCCCACATTTGTAGGAAAGCGCGAAGCATGGGCTGTCTTTGCTGAGACGACGAGCAGGCTCATCTCGAACTTAGAGTGTAGTCTGCCTCTGCGCTGGGATGATGACGCCGAGCTACGTACGGATCTGATGTCCTGTCAGGAGCTCACTGGGACTTTTACCGCTGGCCAGCAGTGTGCGGCGGTAGTGTATGAGAAACCCCTGAAGGGCGTCCGCGGGAAGCAAGTCAGACTTCTTGAGAGACTGCTTAAAGGTCTGGACCAGTCTCTCGGCTTCTCCGTTCGTCTCAGGGTGGTAGGGGGCTCCGTGCAGGTGTTGACTGCCCTGCTGCACACACCAGGTCTGGAACTCGGCTGACGAGAAACAGGTGGCGTTGTCTGTCACAATGGCGTGTGGATAGCCAAAGTGAACAAAGTCCTCGTCGAGCCTCCGGGTGGTCGTCTTGGTTGTTATAGAGGACATGAGGTGGGTGCATCAATATGGACGGGGCTCCAAGGTTCGTCGAGGGTGATCTATGGGTGAGACGGCTGCTTAGGGGGCAGTCTCTGGTGCTCGTTGCAAGTTGTGCAGTGTCGAGCGGCGTCTTCGATATCGGCATCAATGCATGTCCAGTAGACAGCAGTGCGGGATAACTGCTTCATTCTCTGCATTCCGAAATGTCCCAGGTGCAGGATCTGGAGGACCTGGGATTGCATAGTCTTTGGGGTCGCCACTCTGTGGCCGTGGAAAATGCAGCCATTCGACAGAGACAAAAAGTCTCGAAGAACGTAGAAAGGTTTCATTTGGTCACCGAAGTTCTTGGGCCAGTTGCCTTGCAGGTGGTGGATCGCCTTGGTTAGAGCAGGGTTTTTGGATGTTTCTCCCTCTAAAACCTTCGGATTTGCAAGTGCGATTTGGCTGCCGATCAGTTTTATGGTGCAAATAGTTGCTGAGTCTGCACCAGTCTCCTCCCTGTCAAAGGATGGATCCGCCCCTACTGGCAATCTACTCAGGGCGTCTGATGTCTTGCGATATTCTATGGAGTAGTCGTATTGGCTCAGAGTGAGGGCCCATCTGGCTAGTCGATTTGCTGCCAGAGCTGGAATTGGCTTCGTTGGTCCATAGAGGGCAATCAGCGGCTTGTGATCCGTCACCAGGATGAAACGTCGTCCGTAGAGAAACTGGTGAAACTTGTTGAGACCGAAAATGATAGCCAGGGCCTCCTTCTGAATTTGGCTGTATCTTCTGTGGGTCTGCGTCAGTGTTTTTTGAGACATTGGCAATGGGTCTCTCACTGCCATCACTGTATGTATGAAACAGGACACAGCCAATTTCCATGTCTGATGCATCGCAGGATATTCCCACCTCCAACGTAGGGTTGAAGTGGGCCAGGACGGTGTCAGCACTCAGTCAGTCTTTGATATGTTGAAAAGCTGTCTGTTCAGGCGCACCTCACTGCCATTGAGTGTCTTTCTTTGTCAGACGGTACAACGGTTCCAGGATAGTCGACAGGTTTGGAAGGAATTTGCTATAGAACTGGACTTGGCCTAAAAAAATCTCACGCTGGACACGTTGGATGGTGCTGGCATCTGCATGATGGCGTCTGTTTTTGGATCTTTTGCAATGCCGTTCTTGGAAAGGTAGTGTTCTAGGAACTCTACGTGGGGCTGAGCAAAGAAGCACTTCTCTAACTGGCAGCGTAGTCCTTTGACTTGTAGACGCTGGAACAGGCCTCGTGGGATCTGCAGGTGTTCCGCCGTCCACTGCATTGTTGCCGCTGACAAGGATGTCCTCCATGTAGACTGCAACACCAGGCAGGTCTTGTGTTAACTGGTCCATGATTTCTTGGAAATAACCGTGATCCCAGGTTATTCCAAACAGCAGGCGTTTCTGTAGCAGGACGCCTATGTGAGTGCTTAGGGCAAGCTTCTTCTGCGACTCTGGGCCAAAGCAGATCTGGTTGTATGCGTCAGCGAGGTCAGTCTTCGTGAAATAGTGGCCTCGACCCAGTCTCCGCATGAGATCCTCCGGTTGTGGCATCGGGTGACGATGTGTCTCCAGTTGCTGGTTCACAGTGACAGAGTAGTCACTCATACTGCTCTGACCTTGTGTAGACTTCTTATTGATAGGTACCACTGGCGTACTATATGAGTTGAACTGGACTGACCCCCAGATACCTTTGTTGATGCCGGCTTGAATGGTACTATCCAGGTCTTCCTGTACTGCAATAGGTACTGGGCGAGGATTGTGAAAGACTGACTGGACGTCTGGCTTGAATCAAACCTCCAGCTGGAAGTCTTTGGGTGTCCCCAGCCCTTTCTTGAACGAGTCTGGGAACACCTGACATAGTTACTGGTTGGAGCTCTGCAGGGACATATCAGGCTTAATGTCTTGGAGGACTTTGTTGACTTTGTCGTACAGGAGCTGGTCCAGGGATAGACCTAGGCTTCTGCATGATTCTCGGTCGAGGAGGTTCAGCTGCAGACGGGTGACGACGAACTTTTGTTGTTCGCGTTTGTCGTCCTTAGCCAACGTAGTTGGGACTGTGATGACTCCGAGGACAGGAAGGTCTTGATCAGAGGCACACCGGTACTGGCTGTTGGTCTATTTGGCCTATTGAGCAGGTGCCATGTGTTCAAAGAGATAAAATTATCTCTGGAGCCGGTGTCGACCTATAGCTGGACTGGATGCCCCGATATATAGCACTCTTAGGTTCTGGGCTTGATGCTTGAACTCTTGATCGTCTTCACAATCGTGACTCGTTGGCTTTTTTTCTTTCGGCATGCCGCCTCAATGTGGCCCTTGATGTTGCAGAAACAGCATGTGGCAGTGGCAAAACGGCAGCTGTCAGATGTAAGGGCTCCGTCACATCTGGTGCAGCGTTTCTGTTGCAGCCATTTCTTCTCGTGATGAGACTTGTGTTGAGGTGTTGTCTGCTTAGGCCAGGACGGCTTTCCTGGCGCTCGTCTCTGCGACTGCCCGACTTTGTGGACGGCCGTGTCCTGAGACGTTAATGTCTCTTTTGCGACCTTTGAAGCCTCCTCTGCCTCTGCTGCAAGTTCGATGGCGCTGGCGAAGGTCAGCTCGTCGTCTTTGATTTTAAAAAGGGCTTTACTGGTTGCCTCGTTGTGGATGGAGCAGACAAACCGAGTCCTCATGGCTTCGTCCAGCGGGTCAGGGTCACTGATAGAGGCAGAATCGCAGGTGGCAGCTTCTTGCCTGATTCGGGCTGCCAGTTCGTTGACAGTCTCCCCTGGCTTCCTCTATGTGTTGGTCCAGAACTTGAGCTGTTCTCGTACTATGAAGCGTTTAGGGTTGTATTGATCTGTCATGTAGGCTGAGATCTCCGTCATTGACAGACTGTTGATGTCCCTTGGTGGCGACTGTTGCTGGGCCAGATTCATCAGCAGTTTGTCGCCGACACTGGACTGGTTAGTGAGGAATATTTCTGCGCGCTGATCGTCTGGAATAGCGTTAGCCTGTGTGAAGGTTTCGAACCTGGCACTTACATGACCAAAATTGAGTCGATAGTGCCGTAAGACACCTACTCAATCAATCAAAAATCAGAATCTGAACCAGTAATCCGACCAGAGCTCGATAGAGAGGTCGAATTCTCCAAACTTCGTGCTTATGACCGTCTTCTTCTACTAGACTTCGGCAAGTAACACCTCCATCTGCTGCTGCCGTTTACTCTCATCTGTTCTCGCAGCAGTTTGATCAACTCATCCTGGGACTGTGAGCGAGACATGACGACTGGTCTCTGACCGGCAGCAGCTTGTTCTGTCGCTAAAGTTATGTTTTACGGCTCACGCTTTCTCGGTGTTCTGTTCTTAGAAGAACAGGGAAAAGCACGAGACGTTGGTCGGCCTTTTGACACGTTTCACTTTTCTCGCTGTTTTGTCCTAAGATTAAGAAGGACAGGAAACCAAACCAGACGTTGATCGGCTAAGTTTGACACGTTTCACTTTTCTCGTTGTTTTGTCCTTAGAAGGACAGGAAATTACAACAAGACGTTGACCGGACAAGGTTTCGAACTATGCACGCTCTCCTGCTAAAGTATAAGTGGCGTCGGTAGCCTAGTGGTTAGGCTACCGGACTCATGATCGTGAGATTGCGAGTTCGGGGGTTCGAGCCTCTGCTCGGTCCGACGTTGTGTCCTTGAGAAAGGCACTTTACACGAACTTCCCACTTGGCTCAGTCCTATCGGAGACAGACGTTAAACTAGGAGGTCCCGCCCCGTAAATAACCTAATAGTGTTGATAGTGCGTTAAACCTATACCATTTCACCATTGTTTTTCTGCTTAAGTATGGAAGTGGTGGTTTGGTTTCAACAGAGGACAACAAGGATTGAGATTGGGTTTAATGTCTGTTAGGCGCGAGAAGAACGCCCGACCGACAGTACCTTTAGGCCCCGATCATCAGAAACTTCACTTGACCGGTTGGAGGCTCTAAAAGTAAATAAATACGACCGCCAAGGACCCTTGACGTCAATAAAAGCAAGTAATGAGGATAGAAATTGAGAGCGTGCAAAAAAATTTGACCAACTACGGATGGGGAAAGTCGAGATGATAAGTGAAACGTGTGTAGACTTTAGACTATGAGCAGGTGATAAGTCTTTGTAGACTTATCGTAACTTGATCCGTATACGAACAATAATTTTTCACCAACCTGTCTTCTCGATGTTCCCCAGGCTCCTGTGTCGCTTCCCAAGGCTTAGGAAGGCTTTCTTGCTTCGTCGAAGGCTTGTTGCAGAGGCAGGCAGCTTGGCTTGTATCTGGACCAGTCAGCTGGGCTGTGCTGTGTAGAGCAGGCTTGGCTTGGCTGTGTTTGTTTCAGCAAAGGAGCCAACGGGTCTTGGTCTTGCTTGCTCGTAGATCCTATCCTCGTCGCCGATGTTAGATCTTGTAACTTGTAACAGCAAACTTGAACTTCAACCAGGAACACAGGAGTCTCGCCTTGGGTCGAACATAACCAAGCAATATATTTATGATCAATATAATGTAACAGGAACAATATCTACACAACAGGTTAGGGTATTTACATGTTACACAATACATGTTTTCTTTAATAATTGACACATACGTCTCAGTCATTCTCACATAGAATATTATAACACCAGCCTAACGGTACACTTTGGCAAAGAAAATACAAACATGACATATGTGTCACGACGAGGTGGAATCAGGCGCTCGTCAATTTTTGAACGTGTGGAGTTATTTGTAACGTTTTAAAGCTTGTTCATTGGTCTTGCTTTCGGTGAAAAAAATACTCATCTATCATGAATAGTAGTCGAGATAATCTGCGATTGAATGAGATGGGGATTGATTGGTTTCAGAGGCAAAATTAGCGAGAAAATGGCCATCAAAGTTTGATGACTTTCAAAGCTTGAGAGTCCGTAGAAACTTAAAATTTACATTTTTTAAATGTCTTTCATCAATGGCTTTCAGTGAAATGGACCCATAAATGTGTTTTTAAATTGACGAAAAAAGTGTTGACAAAGGTAACTCCGATAGAGAGAGATTTGTTGGGGGGGGGGGGGGGGGTGCCTTAAATCAACATTTTTCAGTAATATTCACACAGAAATCTTTTAACATGGAGGTTAATGGTGTTGAGTCGAAAAACAAAAATTCGATTTTTTTTAAATTGCCAAATGGACAGAAAATTGTCAGTTTCTTCGATATCATTATTTTGACGAGCGCCTGATTTCACCACGATGTCTCACATATTAGGATAATGAAAATGGCATAAAACATTGAAATGTTTCCACAAAGGGGAACAACATACTAACCAATGTCCTGCTAAGGGAATGAAATAAGAGCAGGTCTAATTATTTCCCTTCCAAAAACGTTTGATCTCATCTAGTCTTTTCACAAGCTTCAGTTGTTCACTTGTCTGAAGACCTATTATTGTTTTTGCTCCATCCGTTGAGGTGACGATGAACTTGATCAATGTTTTCTTTTACTTGTGAGTGCACTTGAGTTTTGTCTGGTCCTCCTCCAGGGCCACGTTAACTAAGTGCGGGGCCCTAGGCTGTCCATGAGCCGCGGGGCCGGGGCCCCTCAATGGCGTTGATGCTACTACTACCGCATTGTAACCCCGAACCGATGGAAAGCTATACTGTAAAACGTGATTAGATGTAGGCCTACCAGTATCCACCAATAATGTGGATTAAGACGACGACAAGCACATTTATAGATCTATTTCTGTTACAAAGTATGAGGGAGCCGAAACCTATCCGTGCTTGTTTTCTTCGTGGTGGATTACTTCATTTAAACACATACACAACAGATTATAAACACTCATACCTTATATTTTTCTCCTCGCTTTTTGCTGGGCAAATGCCTCGATGATTTCCTCAAATCTAGAGATTTTGTCGTTTCAGATTCAATCGTCAAGAGAGCTAAGCCGCTTGGTTTCTCTTGTCCCATCGTTGAACGCAGTCTACTTTTCACTCGTTTCAGTAGGGAGAAGGATCTGTAACCCTCTACGTTGGCGATAGGCATGGTGAGAAAGAGCCTCAGTGCGATCTCTACATTTGGGAAAGCTGTTGTTGCACCACTTTGGCACAGATCTTGAAGGAGCCGGGGAGGAGAAAGTGTATCCTCAGACTGAAATGTTGAGTTGACATATCCTGAATACGACACTAGTTCGTCAGGAAATGATGGCTCTAGGTCGTCCTCATATTGCTGCCTAATGCGAGATGCTGTGTCTCGAATGCTTGTGGCAGGCTTCTTGTGAAGATAAAAGAGAATGTCAAAATCTTGAGCCAAAGTCTTGTAGATGTCTCCTCGCTTTTCAAGTTCAGACAAAAGGCAGTCAACGATGACAAGGAAGGTGTTTATTCTAAACTGCTCCCGATGCGACAAAACAGCTTCAAAATCTTTCGTTTTGTCGTGGAAGCGCTTGCGTTTTGCAGTGCGTTTGTATTGGTAGGAAGGCTCTTCGATGAAAGGTGTGACTGATTGTTCGATTCGCTCGAAATCGTCCCGAAGTCCTGTTAAGAAAGCAGTTAGAGAATCGTACAACATGTGTATGACTCCCAGATTGAGTGATGGTTTCTGAAGTGTTTTGTTGACAGTGTTGAAGCGTGCCAG